AACCAATAATTCATTTTCCGCAGGTTAACCCCTTAGTTCCAGGCCTTAAACTACTGGAGGTTGGAAAAAAAATCGCGGAACTGACATCTTTCATCATCGTTTACAGATCGTTTAATACCTGCAACGGCCGATTTTGTACCAGAACTTGATCAACTGACAGCGTTCAACTTTAACAGACAGGAAGGCTGTCTACCTAGAAAGAATACACAATGAAAGTGACGTCATATTTGCCCATTCATCGTGGGTTTTTTCGTCTATTGCTTAGTTTCAGCCAACGGCCCCAGTAAAAGAAAACTAAGACTGAGTATCTTTTAACCGTATGCAGGCCGGGGGACCTCCTTACGTAAAGGTCGAATAACTTCAAAACCGTTCAAGCTGTGACCTGCAAACTTAGCGAATTTTCCTTGAAATTATCTGCTGCAGTGTACGTCAACATTGACGTTACCATGGCACCCGAGTTTTGACAGCTACGCTTCCAAAATTTTCATTTTTCCTACAACGCAAACGGTTGTTCACTATAATTACATTATCATGTAACATGCTTCTTATTTAGTATTATTTTATCCAATTCATGGTATCTGTTAACATAACACAGGTATTTAGTGACGAATTTCACAAAAGAACAAAAACAGAAACAAAATTAAAATGATCAAATGGCAGATGCGGGTTAAGTTTTTGACGGTGTTTATTTCTCTCGGAATTTCATAATTGGCAGATTTGTTTCGCTTTATAAGCATCCGTTTTATATGCGGATCAAATCTTCTATCACGATTACCGATTACCTCGATTTATACGTTTTTTAAGCAAAATGAAATACGTGAAGTAATTCAAAACGGCGGTTGTTCCAGTTCCTTATTTGAGTAATAAATGACGTCATCGCGGCATCACTGCTACTGTTTAAAATTTTTCATGTTAACCTCTTGTCAGACCTCACTTTTTAATGTTTTTTCGTTTATGGCTTTTTTGAGGGACATTTGGATTTTGCCAATAAATTCAACAAAATGACGTCATAACGACGTCAAATTACGCCATTGTGGCAACCAAATTATGCTTAGATGTTGGAAATGATGATTACATTATTTTCTGGAACTTTGGTGGCCATGTCATGAGCGGTTTTAAAGTTATAGGGGGGTTATCTTCTACACGCCTCTTATCTATAAAACGCCCCCTCTTGGACCCTTAAAATTGAATAAACGTCCCGAGCGTCTATTAGATCACTTAGGGGCATGTAAAAAAGGACAAAACGACTCGCAGGCCAGATCTGCTCTAAATGCTTGGGCATAAAAACACCAACCTTTTCTTGCTCCAATCAGAAGCCAAACGACGTCTAATGTTTGGAACTGGTGTGGGAAGATATTGTCTGGGTATTGGCTCTTCCGCCCTTGCTTGAAAAGTTTCGTCGCTTTGATTCTTTTGAACCGACTGAGGTTACCTCCCGCACTGAGGTTACCTTTACCTTACGCAAATCCAAAACCGAAATCGCCTTTTTTTTTTCAATTTAACCCTCGGACATACACGCAAAGTCTTACCCCCACCGCGGTACAAGGGGTGGGGGGTTGATGAAACCCCCCTTGAGTTTTTGATATGTTGCAGTATTTCGAAACGATTTTGCTATAAGTGGAAAGCCTTTGACCTTCTCCAAAATACAAGGTATATTTTATGGGTGGTGGCGCTGTTGGAGGTCTGTGAGATCACCTAACATGGTCGCCACTTTGTATTTTATCAAGAATTAGAAATTAGGTAAAAGCAGCGAAAATTAACCAAAGCAACTGACCATCACTAAACTTGTCTCAAAATGCGCGCGAGGGATAAACGAACAGCTACAGAAAACTTCAGATGCTGATATTCTATCGTCTAGGAAAACAAATCAGAAAAACGTTCCCCCCCCCCTCCTCCACCCCGCCCCCCTCTTGAACATCTTAGAGTTAGACTTATCGGCCTTTCTCCCACACGGAACCAGTGAATTACCTCATCGAAAGCGCATCCCGTGGCCCCGACCAAATAAATTTGGTTATCCAGATTTGTAAGGTCGGGAATTGGCTCCCCCTAGCTCTCATGAGGATGGGCTAAATATAATCACACCTAGGCTGTTGGTCAGTTAAGAACGTCTTTATTTTGCTTATCTAAGTAAGTATCGATAAAGGTAAAAGAAATGTAAAACTGTAATCTAACAAGTCAATTAACTACAATACTTAATGACGTTTTTAAATATTAACAATGTGCTTTCCTATTGCAAGATATACTGTTCAAAGAACAACTCGATTTCTAGTGGAGCTTGTCTTATTAAAACTTCTAAAAACTTTACAGTTGAAAACTCAGTACAATTCGTTGAACAGTTATTATGTACAGCCGTTCCAAACTAACATCTACAAAATCAAAGTGTGCTGAAACAAAGCCTGATTTAGTATCTTCGTGGTAGTTGGCCTTGTATTACTTCCGCATTCATTTGTTTAAATATTATACCACACAACTTGAAAAAAAAAAAACATGCAAAAGAGGAATAAGGGACCTTCCCATCCCCTTGCACAGTAATCTAAGGCAGTCTTGGATTCTGGATTCTAAATTGTCAGTGGAACTGATTGCAACCCTTGGAGGGATTCTGGATTCTTTGAGCTAGATTCCAGAGTCCAAATGCCAGGAATCCAGATTTCTCAAGCGAATAATTCCCGGATATATCCCGGATTCCACAAGCAAAAATTAATCAGATTCCGGAATGCAGGTTAGTACCTTACAGGGAGCGACTAATAATAATAATAATAATAATAATAATAATAATAATAATAATAATAATGATAATAATAATAAATATTGTTTAAATTATCATGATCATAATGATGATGATAATAGTTATAATTATAATCATTATGATTATAATTATAATAATTATAATCATGATCATGATAATAAAAAAAAGAACGTTCAGCCTCAAGCAAAAAATTAGACTTTCTTATATTAACAAGGGTGTAGAGTATTGTCTTTTTTTTATTGTTGTTGTTGTTTTAAAAAAAAATCGTAATAAAACTTACTGATTAATGTCTTATGTCTTAATAATCTGCACACTAATACACTAAACAGCGAGTGTTATAGCAAAAACATTTTTAGCTTCCTGCATGGAAGAGCGTAGCCTCCCACGCAGAAGTTTTTTGGGAAATTCGTGTTTCCTCTCTATCCTCAAACGCCTGTTCAACTGCGAACAACATTCCTTTCCCATTGTTTTTGGTAAGTTACCAATCAGCAGTTTTGAAATAAAGTGGTCACAGGCTAAACACGACTCATCGCTCGTGGTAGTGTAAAAACGTGAGACTAGAGTTACTTTTCTTTCCTTCACTAAGGTTATGCAGTGCACTGAGTATTTCAAAGTCTGACTTAATCTTACTTTTGCCGCTCCGAGTCTAACATTTATTAGACGTCATCAAGCTTTTCCAGTGTTTCATGCAGATCGAGTAATTATCTGGTTAGCCTGCCGTCAAGGTCAATCTTCCAGAATTTGGAGGGTACGATGTGTTTGGCTAAGCTTGGGAAAGGAATGTTGTTCTCGGTTGAACGGGTATTTTTGGAGAGGGATGAAGTACGAGCTCCCCTAAAAACGCCAGCGTGTGAATAGTGGCCTAGCAGTGTCACCCTTAGTCGATAATAAGGCCACCTTCTAGCCGGGCCAACTTTTCTCCATATCAACACTTTTGCTCGCTCAGTCCGGTCAACACGGTCAGGGTAAGATAATCAGAGCATGCGCAAACGCTGTTGGCTTTGGCAAAGAGGTCATTTTTTTTTCTCATATAAACGATCTCTAAAGTTGACGTAATTGGGAGGGTGTCAATCGTTAGGGAATTTAAGATAGTTCACTACGGTAGGCTGGGACGGTTGGATGCGTATACCGGTGGCCTGGGGCCATGACGGTAAGAAGGAGGGAAAATTTTCAATTTAAGATCGGACAACAAAACAGAGGACGGTGAAGGCATGTGCGAAATTTGTTGTAATATTTCTTTCGCAGAAAGCTCGATTACTGACGAGTTTCTCATTTTTGAAGAACGCCAATCACAAGAATAGGGGTACAACTTAAAGCTAGCTAGTTTTCAAAAGTAGTCGATGTTTTTATTTGAACTTTTCTTTCCTAAGACAACACTTTTTTAGTTAAAGAAATCTTTTCTTGATAAAAATACAGTTTTATAAAGTGAAAAAAAAAAAAAAAAGCACGGCTACAATCATCAAACAAACGTCGAACTTCTCATCTGCCGAAACTGATGCACAATTTACTAAAATTTATTTTCACTTGTTTAAAGCATTCTAGACCATGAACATCGTGAAAATGAATCTAGTTCGACTAATTAAGTTTGACGTCTGAATCAACCTCGAACTTACATCATTCGGGTCGACCTAAATAGGTATTAAGTTCAGTACATGAAAAGATCGATGTTTGAACTGGGCGTTACCTTTCTTTTCTACAATTTTCCTCTGCCACGGCGGATGACACTAGGTAGAAAACAAGCAGTCTCCATGCGGCCGCGAGCTTAGTTATGAATGAACTCAGACATTTTCTCTATTTGTTTTTGTTTTTTTCATTTCGCTGATAGGTAAATCAATATAAACACAACCCAACGCATATTTAACCCGTTGGCTACGCAGTTTTAGAGGAAAAGTGACAATAAGTAAGCATGAACTCTTATCGGTTTCACCGTTGTCTTCACGACGAGAAACCGGCGAAAATATACCGTCCCACAAGGACGACAGTAAACGGTCACGCGTGTTTTGCGTGACGTGACAGCTATCCAACCGTCCCAGGCGACCGTAGTGACCTATCTTAAAGTCCCTTTTCTCTATAAAGATTCGCCTTCACACCCACAACTACCAGCTTCTTCCAGTTTTCTTAGCAATATGGCATTCGGGTTCATGTAGTAAATAAATGGCAGATTCGGTGCAAATATATCTGATAACTGATTGCAATAACTCTAAGAGCGCCAACTTGATGGATCCAAGTTATATCAAGCAACTAATAAAAATGTTTAGTTTTTTTCGCAAATGTATCCCAGTTTCAAGGAGCAGTCTTCGTCGTTCCATTTTGCGTTAGAATACCTTAAATAGTATGTTCCCTTTAGCATTGCTACGCAGTCTTGGTTAAAAAGATTATTCGGCTCGCCACTTCCCCAATTTTTATAACCAGTTAATCCAGTTTTGTCGGTCCATCTCCAGTCTTTTTCTTTAAAGGCGTCAGAAAGTCCAATCCAGTAACGACCTTTATTACTGAAATATTTTCGTGTGATAAATCGACTTTCCTCCTTGGTTTCAATCTTCACTAACTTACCACCAACATTTTGGCAGCTCACTTTCGCATTGTTCCAGTTCTTGCGCGATGTGTGCAGTTTATAACACGAAGACCCAAAACCTGTCCATTGCGATTCACACGATGCTGAATAAATTAAAAGAAAAGCAAAGAAAACAAATTATAAAGAAAAATGTTTACAGATGTATATAAATTGGTGTCTCTTAACCTTCGAATGTTCATGTAAACACATACCCCCACCTCTCACCGTGGTTCAAGGGGGGATGGTTGAACCCCTCTTCTTTCTCAGGATGTGCCTTACCTTACGATATTTTGAAAAGTAAAGTTTTCTACCCTTAATAGATCTCTTAAATAGATTGCCTGTTATGCCGTCTACAAGATAACGTTAATACTATTCTAACTGCATACATAATTGAGGGTCTCAATGGGGTGGTGGCTTTTACGGTTATCGGCTAAAATTTCGGCTCTTTTACGGCTATCGGTTAATTTTTTCAGTTACGGTTAACATAAAAGTCAAAAATTAATTTCTTTTGTTTCAAAGAGTTAAATATTAATAAACCTGTATTTTTAGTAACTTTAAAGCAAAATAAAGGTCTTAGGATCATCTTGGGATGAAATAAGCCATTCTTTTGAAAAATTTTAACATTTGATAGATCACACTTTTTTAAAAGTATTCCACTTCTAATATTATTTTACGCATAGAAATGTGGATAGTGAATATAAAAATAATCTTTGTGAAAAAGCAAAAGCAGACACGCGAACGCTCAACTCAAGGCGGGAGCGCGACATTCATTTACAACAGAAATGGACGTTTTCACCCTAGAGACGGATCATTCGAGTGAGACGGGTTATCCGTTTGATAATTCGCGTCAGATAGGTAATACGTCTTAATTTGATCAAATGAACAATCCGCCCGACTTTAATCCGTCAATTTTGACGGACAGTTTGAAGATGGATTAACCATTCCAGATAGCCTGTGTACAGCCGACCCCTCCCCTCAGAAAAAAATCGGAGAAGGGGTGTCTGTGGGGGAGGGGGCGACTGTACACAAGCTAGTATCAGACGGAAAATCCATTTCTAGCTCTAGTGTGAAATTCGGCCAACAACAAAATTCCCTTGTCCGGTGTTTTTAATGACAGAGAAAGGACTGCACAGAACGACTGTCTGCCGTTGACTTGTCCTTAGGCCTCATTATTCTGCGTGGCTAATGTATTCCGGGTCACGTGGTCCGAGCGAATTTGTTTTTTTTTTTTTTTCCTCAGGTATGCCACCGAAATGCCTCGACCAAGATTGCGTGTGAAGACACCGTACAGGGATTAGGCATGGCAATGTCTACCGTAGCGTCAGAGACTGAAACAGGGAATTGTTAATTGTTTATCGGCAACGTGTTTTACAAACAGTGGCATCTCTGTGCGTTGTTTCACTAGTATTTATGAAAAAAAAACTTGGTTCTTCGAGTGAGCAGCGGAAATGGAGCATAGCTTTATAGGTCTAGGTTAACACCTAAACGAAGCTTGGCCTAACGTGCGTACGGAGCCAAAGTAGCCGGGAAATAGATAACGCAACCATAACTGAATTTATCACCTTCCTTAACAACTCTAGGGAACAATTTCTTTACGGTTAACTCTTTTTTACCCTATTTACGGCTATCGACTAAATTTTTGGCCGCTTTACTCCCATCGGTTAATCCCATTGAGACCCTCATAACTGAACCGTGACGAGGGAAATAAGTAATTACTTTAAATTCCTTCGTGTTAGAACTGCTCGGTTTTTCTTGCCTCTCGGCCAGTTGTTCAACGGGGTCAATGAAATCAAAGTGACTTCCAAGTTTCGCTGTCGTTTCAACCGCCACCAGCCGCTTTTAGAGAACTTATCTGTGACCCCACTTTGTTTTTTCTCTCCTTGCCAATGTTTCACCGGTCTCCAGAGGTAATTTCCTCGTTATCGCTCACTCTGCGTCCTTAGCTCTTGACGAGGTCGGGCAGCAAAGTCGGTTTGGTATTCATGTTTTACTGTTGGAAAATGTATCAACTTTCTTGTTGCGTCTTGTACTCACCGTTAGTTTCGCTTGTTTCCTCCGTTTCTTCACTTTCTGCTTTAATTCAGTTGTTTTCATCGAATAGGTTTAAGATAAGATGAGATAATATATTTAATGTCAGATACACAGGGGGTGGTCTCCCAATCCCCCGAGCCACGGGCTCGTGACAAAAGTGTTTGACAATATAAAAGAAAAATTAAATAATTAATATCTCAATAGCAACTAATTAAATTAAAAAAATAACATCTATCTATAAAAATAAATCGGGTCAAAGGCAATTCCTGCATTGACAGCCGATAAAATTTAACTTAGTTAAAAGTCTCCGAAAGGATGATGCATTAGGTGCGTTTTTTACAACAGATGGCAACTGGTTCCAGATGTGCGAGATCATGTACGCATATGAACCATGAAGGAATCTACTATTATATGAAGTTTGTACAACATTTAGACCATTGCTTCTAAGATTATATGGTGTAACTCGGGGTTTGAATAAATTGGCTACATAGCCTGAACCATTCTCCTTGAAACATTTAAAAAATATCATTAAGGATTGTTCTATGCGTCTATGTTCCAAGGTATTCATATCTGCCATCCTAAGAATTGATTCATAATCGGTACTTTTCCCCATGTTCATTATAGTTCGTAGACCGTAAGCTAAGCTAGTCTTGTCAGTTTCGGATATTTAGCGTTTTGCTTGCTATTTCTGCCATTACCTTGCTGTTATATTTCTTTTGCCGCGTCCTTTTTTTGTTTGTTTATTGCTTATTGCGCAGTTAGAAATGGCTTACTAGTTCCATTGTCTCTCACCCGCCTATTTGCGTTCTATCTTATGGATGTTTTTCATTTGCATGTTTCTTTCTCGTGTTATTATTTTGCAAGGGTGGATTTGCGCTTATACAACTCAGAGCGGAGAGAGCTGTCGACTGGACGATTCTGTTTTGTTAAACTCTGACTTAGTGACCCGAGACGTCCGCAGAATAGCCGACGGTCTTAGCATCCAGCGGCCTGGAGACTCCATAAATCGATTGTGTTGTGTTCAATTACGATTGAATGGCCCGGAGAACCAGGGCTCTGAAGAACTGTAGAATCAATTTTTCGTTGTGTTCAATAATGATTACGTGGCCGCGCCCATTCGTTGGGTGCCCCTGACATGTTATAACTATGACGTTCAGGGCTATCCGAAGACGAGATAGCTGAATTTTTTACTAAAACTGAACGAAAGAAATGGGAGAATACACAAGAGTCACACAATGAATATTACTCGATGGATGTTGTCTACCTTTTGAGGAGTTTTTGCACGAAAACAGACGTCCGTTTATATCCTGCAACCATGCCGAGAAATGGGCCAAAGCCTTAAAGAAAGTTTACGAGGAGGTAAACTTTATTTTTAGGTCTCGCTATAATTCACGGCAGTATCACTTACCATTGTATTTTGTACCAATTTTGCAAATGCAATTGAAAGATCCATTGGTATTCTCACAATTGGACACATCGCCACAGTTGTGTATATCCGTCCTTACATTCATTAATGTCTACGTGGATGAATCAGAAAGAAATGTCGAAAAAAGGATGCTTAAAAGCTTTAGTAAGCAAGGAGGTTGTTCTAAATCTAACATGATAGCTTTGACAACTGTAAGCCGGTGTATGTAAGAAATGCCAATCATCTACCATCAGGTGGGTCCTCGTAAATAAGCGGTAAGGGATTGTTTTCAAGAATATGCCATTATAAGGTTGGAATGGGGGATAAGCAGACAATCATTTTCAGCCCAGCTGACAGTTGTCACGTCAGGTCGAGGGTAAAATGCAGGGTGGCAACTGTACCCTGAAGAAAAGCTTCATATGTTTGACGACTCTGCCATGTCAGGCAGTATCGGGCCACCATGAAAGCCCTTACCTAAACGTTGGGAAAATAATAAATTGAATAGGAGAATGAAAACAATTCTTTAAAATCCTAGCGCATGAAGGTGGTTGAGTAAACTAACTGGATGTCCGCATTGTGAGTCAAACAATGTGCTAACACATACTGACATAAAAACAACAAAGTCAACCTGATTAGCCATACCTTCGTCGCAGTTTTCGCCTTTGAAACCATCACGGCAAACCCATCGGTAGCACTTATCTCCGTGGCCTACCTTACAGATGAAGTTCTTTCCAGGGCATGGGCTACTATGAAATAATTTCTGTTGGAAATCACAATTTAATTACACAACAAAATTTCTTTCCTATAGCCAGATACTGCATGAACTTACACAATTATTGAAAAAAAGATACCAGCTTTTCATTATTAGTGATGGTAATTAGTTGCCAAAGAGTTTGCAGTGTCCCTCGTTTTACGTCTTTAAGTTGCTAACTTATATACCTGTGTGTATTACTTATCTTCAGCCTCAGTTTTATCCAATACATATTAACCCTATTCTGACCAAGGGGCGCTTTTGAGGCCCCCTAAAAGTTTAAAGTTGAAGAACTTAACTTTAAAACCGTCCAAGCAATGACAACAAAACCTAGCGAATTTTCCTAAAATTTATCTGAAAACATTTTAAAATGACCAAATGGCGGACGTTGGGCTCAAACTTTCACAGTGTTCATTTCTCTCAGAATTTCATCCCTTTTTTATTTTCTTCTTAAGCATCCTTTTATCCCCAGGTGAAACTTTACATCACCATTACCTCGATTATACGGGTTTTAAGCAAAACGGAATACGTTTAATAATTCAAACTTGTAGATCCAGGCTGGGGAATGATTCCAGTTTCTTTGTTAATGGTAACTGACGTCATCATTGTGTCACTGCTATTGATACAGATTTTTAACGGGTTATAATTAGCGACCTTCATGATTTAGAACCTTTTTTTTAGCAAAAACAATTGATAAAGTTTGGGTTTCACCAATAAGTTAATCAATATGACGTTAAAATGGCGTCATTGTGTCAATCAAATTATGCCTAGATATTGGAAATATTGTGTGCATTATCCTGTGTAATTCCGTTGGCCTTATCTTACGTGGTTTTAAAGTTATAGAAGGGGGCGCTTAGAATAACCCCCTCCCCGTCCCAGGAGCCAAAAAAGCCAGCTCTTAATATAGGGTTAAACGTATTTGAGCAAAAAATCAAACAGTTAAACAGCGGTGATAAATACTGTGGGCTTCAGCATTTTGTTTTATTTTTTATTAGTATTTACACACTCAGTGATCTTGGTGATTTAAGCAATCTGATTGGTTCGCTATCTCGGACTATTCAGCAATATTCACCTCCAAGCGAGTGGATAATGTGTGAGCTCGGTTTTTTCCCCATTTTTTAGATAAAGATCTTTTAAAAGTCGACAAAATCCTAGGGTTGACTTTTTTTCAGGCAAGAAAAGACTTCGAAGGATTCAAAACAGCGTTTCTCCATTTACTGTAGTTGAGTTTTGTGGTCGATGGATTGTTTACAACTCCCGTTTATTTGCCTAGAAGAGGTCGTTTTATGAACTCAGCGTTTCCTAACAAGAAAAATTGGGCCCCAAAACGAAGTTTATTTATGATAAACAAATTTGAAAGCAAATGTTTGCAGAAATTCTACGTTTCAAGTAAATAGGAGAAAGAATGTTCCATGAAGACAACATCTTTATTACCTCGAGAAGCCGCCATTTTTAACAGCACTTCATGTGAAGAACGACACAACAAACCTTTTCCGCTATAAACTCGGCGAGTCAACAGAAAACAACAGAGCTCTTCTTTTCTTCTCAGGTAAGGAAATAATTCAAACTTTTAGCGGTTCCATTTAAATCATTACGCTGTTGTTTGCGAAGTGAAAAGCCTTTTGAATTGCCATTTTTGAAAATTCTGCAAAGATCTATTTTTAAACTTTCGCGTGTCTAGCTGACCTGATCTGTCAATCAAATCGTACTTTTTAATGGTTTCCTCCCTGATTTTGCTGAGATCACTTCGTGAGTTTATACTAAAACAATTATTCTTTTCAATCTCGGTGAATAGTGGCTTTAGGAATATTTACCTCGCCACTTCGTGGCTTGGTAAATATTTAGCAACTATTCACCTCGATTTCAAAGAATAATTGTTAATTAGCGGAGCTCCGCGCGCGAAGCGCACCAGCGGAGCACCATGGGTAAATAAATCTACCCATCCCAAGTTAAACTGAGGATTCTTAAAGACAATTAAATACTCAATACATTTGCTTTCGTGAATGAAAATTGTTGTCTCTGTAAATGTTCTACCGAATTATATTTCTTTATTGATTGTTGGTAGTCTCAAAAGTGTAATTTTCATCGCTTCGCCGTTTGTTTTCAGCCGTTCATAAACATTGCTTGCAGGAGTACTCAAAATGCCGAGCGTATCAAACGCTTTTTAAGATTACACATCGTTACAAAACCATTAATAAAAAATAGACTCAATAAATTCTTTATCACGTTGAAGCGTAACTCTTTTAAAAGATCTGGCGCTTGTCAAAAGTTAGAACCGGCTGGCCGTATAGGTGATTTTGGAAATTTTTTGAACGGTTTCGCTAATATTAAAAGTATACGCTTGCTTCGATAGTCCTGAATATTGAATGAATGCAATTTGGCTAGATAAATTGTGAAATACTGCATTTTGTACGAGGTTTGTACCATAAAAACAGCACCCCATAGTACTCTTTCTCCTCAGATGTGGTGTGTAAAAAATATAAAAGATTGGTTTGCACGCACCCAGATTTATAATTTGTAAACTTGTCGAACGCAAAAAATTCGGCCTGATTTGTTTTCCACGCCTTATCTACTGTGATCAAGAGCCATTATTGCTCTTAAATGTGACCGAAGACTACTTTTGGGGTGTACATATAAGGCTATATCAACTCGATACAAGATCTGTTTCACTCCGAAATCGCTTAGCTAATTCCCTCAAAAGTCACATGAATGTGCCCTTAATATAACTTATTTGTTGAATACAAAATTATTGTTTGATCTAAGTAATAAATTTATCAATGGGAGCTTCGCTTTTAGCCGTGGCTATATCTATACATTAACTTTCGATGGCCCAAGAACAGAGGTCTTTATAAACGTATTTGCATTCTGATTTTGTCACATAAGACAAGCATTACTGATGATCGTCTCGGTTAACACTCGGACGTACCCTCACGCTTGGCATGCATAATAACACATAAATAAGCAGTTTGCATCATCTTATCTACAACCTTTACTTTTATTGTTAAAAGAAGTTGAAAAAAACATGCGTTTTCACTCATAATGGCTTTACCACCTGCTACTTATGACACCATATCTCGTGACAATAGTAACTGACCATCGCTAAACGTGCCTCAAAATAAGCGCAGGGGATAAACGAACAGCTACTGAAAACGTCAGGTACTACTTTTTTTATAGTCTAGGAAAAAACTCAGACAAAAACCTCATAGGGGAGGGGGAGGGGGAACCAAACAAACCCTCCTTGTACGTCCGAGGATTAAGACGTTTGTAAACTCTTTGCAATTGATCAAAATTTATTGCAAAAATATCTAATACCTCAATTGCATAGTGAATGTGACCTGGCTTTTCCTGCAAGTTTGTCTGAGATGGACTTTCATCTGTAAAGTTATTCAACTCACAGGTGCGCTGTCCTTGATCGTCTGGAGGGCCCACATTTATG